CAATGTACCGAATGTGAGTGATCAATATGGTGGCATTGAGGAAGAGAAAGACATAGAGAGGGACATGGGAGGTACAGACAACAAAGATGAACCCTTTTGCACATACAGTACTGCATTGCCAGTGAAGGCAAACATGGTTATAGGGGTGGATAGATGGGTAGATATGCTGAACTAGTAGGTATGTCTATGAAGTGGGAAGTGTACCCAAGACCAGGTACAGGGTTTTCAGACAATGGTCCTATAAGTTTATTTGTATGATCTGAATTCCCAGGTGTATAGTAGAGCTGACAAGGGGCAAGGTTGTAGTCACTTCTTGGTCATAGCCAGCTACCCAGAGGGACTGAGTAGTTGAACCTTTGGGCTCAAGACTATAGCTGCAGGGGACATCGAGCTCAGTTGGCATAACATACTACACAAAACATTGTTCTACCTCCTACTTTGGCAAGTAACGACTGGGATCTTAAAAGCTTGCAAGCTGCCATCTAGATGCAATGATGAGTCTCTCCTCGTCCAGAGCAAGGAAGAGTGAAGAAAACCAAAAATCCATGGAAGCAATTAGTCCTAGTCACTGGTACACCATCCAATCTGCAGACTACACGACTATGAGACCAGAAGAACTAGTTGGTGCCTGGCTACCACTATCAACCACTTGGAAGGGGATCTATGTAGGAGATCCTGGATAGAGAGGGAGAACAATGTGGAGCAAAACTCAGATTCATTTGGAGAAAAAAAAGGGAGAGGAGCAGGTTTGTTGGTCTGATAGAGCTTGGTGGAACCAGTGGGACTATGGCCCCTAGCTGCCCTTCAGGTAGGGAATTGAACCCACACCTGTGGCTTCCAGCCAAACCAAAGACAGGCATATGAGTTGAACATTTACCTGAGGTAGATACACTCCTTGGAGAGAATAATCATGGGACAAAAAAGGGCTGCTTCTGCACAGGGAGACAGCTCAGGGGACAGGAATGCATGGAGGGATGGACACAGGACAGAGGTAATTATCAGGAGGAAGTGGAAGGGGAGCTGTTGCATTGTGGTAAATTGTGGTCAATATCATGAGACAAAGTGTATGTGAACTACTGTATGGAAAGTGAATTTGCTCTGTAAATTTTCACCCAAATCACTATTAAAACAAAAAAAAAAAATTACCAACAACAAAAAAAGTCCTGGCCCAAACAGTTTCACTGGAAAATGTTACCAAATGTTCAGAGAAGAACTGACATCAATTCTACTCAAACTATTCTGAACAAAGAAAAGGATGAATCCTCCCAAATTCATTTTATGAAACAAGCATAACCTGATATCAAAACCAGGCCAAGACACCATTAAAAAGGAAAACTATAGCCCAATATCTCTTATGAATATAGACACAAAGGTCTTCAACAAAATTCTGGCCAATAGACTGCAACAACATACCAAAACATAATACATTATGATCAGGTGGGGTCATACCAGCTATGCAAGGATGGATCAACATTAGAAAAACAATCAGCGCAATCCATCACATAAGTAAAATAAAGGAAAAGAGTCACATGATCATATCAATAGATTCAGAAAAGGCATTTGATAAAATCCAACACCCATTCCTGATCAAAACTCTCAGCAAAATAGGAATAGAAGGAACATTCCTCAACATAATAAAGAGCTTATATTCAAAACCAACAGCTAACATTATTCTCAATGGAGAAAGATTGAAACCATTCCTGTTGAGAACAGGAACTAGACAAGGATGTCTTCTATCACCACTTCTATTCAACATTGTATTGGAAGTCCTAGCTAGAGAAATAAGGCAAGAAAGGGAAATCAAGGCATCCAAATTGGTAAGGACGAAGTAAAACTATCTCTATCTGCAGATGATATGACACAATACACAGAAAACATAAGAGACTCAGCAAAAAAAATTACTGGAACTTATTGAAAGATTTATCACAGTGGCAGGATACAAGATCAAGAGCAACAAAAATCAGTTGGATTCCTCTACACCAGCAAAGAGATCTCTGAAAAGGAAATAAGGAAATCAGTATCATTTACAATAGCTACCAAAAAGATAAGAGGCTTTGAAATAAATATTACCAGGGATGCAAAAGACCTATACAAAGAAAACCACAAAATACTACTTCAAGAAACTATAAGAGATGTACATAAATGTAAAAACATACTATGCTTATGGATAGGAAGACTGAACATTGTGAAAATGTCAGTACTACCCAAAGCAATCTATAGATTCAATGCAATCCTGATCCAGATTCCATCAACATTCTTTAATGACATGGAAAAACCAATCACTAATTTTCCATGGAAAGGAAAAAGACCTTGGATAAGGAAAGTACTATTGAAGAAGAACAAAGTAGGAGTTTTCACACTCCCGGATCTTGAAACTTACTATACAGCCACAGTAGTGAAAACAGCGTGGTGTTGGGTATGGATCAGGTTGAATGATCAGGTGTATCTAGGCAAAAGGGAATATACCCATGACCATCTATATGGTAGGCACACAATATTTCTGCATATGTATTCATACGTGCTGTAATAATGTTTAAACATATAAAAGAGCTAACAAGGGGCAAAGATATGATAACTTCTTGGCCACAGCCAACCACCCTGAGGGAGTGAATAGTTGGACTTGTGGGCTTGGGACTATGGTCTCAGGGGACATCAAGTTCAATTGGCATAACATACTACACAAAAACATTGTTCTACATCCTACTTTGGTAAGTAGCGACTGAGGGATAAAAGCTTGCAAGTGGCCATCTAGATGCAACAATGGGTCTCTTCTCATCCAAAGCAAAGAAGAATGAAGAAAACCAAAGAAAACAGAAACAATTAGTCCAAGGGACTAGTAGACCATGTGATCCTCAGCCTATATTACCATGAGACCAGAAGAACTAGATGTTGCCTGGCTACCACTGTCAACCCCTCAGAAAGGGATCAGTGCAGCAGATCCTGGATAAAGTGGGAAAACAATGTGGAACAAAACTCAAAATAATAATAAAAAGACCAGGTTTACTAATCTGATAGAGCCTGGTAAGACCCCTGAGACTATGGCTCCTAGTTACCCTTCAGGTCTGTAAGTGAACTTACTCCTATGGCTTCCAGCCAAAAAACAGACTGGCATATGGGGTGAACATTTACATCAGGTAGGTACACTTCCTGGAGCAATCAATTGTGGGACAACAGAAGGGCAGTGTTTGTACAGGGAGATAGCTGGAGTGGGGGAGTGCATGGGAAGGAAAGGCACAGGGACAAGGTAACTACAGGGAGGAAGTAGAAAGAAAGCTATTACATTGTGGGGAATTGCAGTCAAGGTTATGAAACAAAATGTGTATGGAAAATGGAACTGTTGTATGGAAAATGAATTTGCTCTGTAAACTTTCACTCAAATTAAAAAAAAAAAAAAAAAACTTTGACCCAATGGGCTTACAATCTAGTGGTGAGAGAGAGAAATTAACAAAAAAAGTAAGTTTCAAAAAATATAATTGATAAGACAGTGCTAAGTACTATAAAAAAAATAAATTAGGGAAAAGAGAAAAGGGTTATCAAAGAGGGCCTAAACAAAAAAAGTAATATTTGAGTAAACATCGGAAAGAGGTGAGAGAGCATACAGGAAAGGCAAAAAAAGCATTCTAGACAAAAGAAACAGCGAAGACAGTGGCCTCTGAGGTAGAACATGTCTGATGCATTCCAGATCAGAAAGGAGTCAAGTGTGGTTGAAGCCAAGTGATGGGGAAGAATAGGGTGAGAAGAGTTATAAAGATAACAACAGGTGATGATATGTGTGTTTCTGTGTGTGAATATGAAAATATACATGTACGCACATACACTTAAATACATATGTTCACTTATATTTTGTAAGCAGTTCAGTGAAAAAGGCATTGGGAAATACAGGTAGTCCTCCAATTAAGATTTGCCCTTTAATGTTATGTACATTTAACCCTCACTTTGAAAAAGAACCAATCCCTATTTACAACAAATTCTTGATCTTCACTTGATAGACACACAGCTTTTAAAAATTGAAAAGACTTCAAGGCTTTTCTTACACCAAACCCCCTAAAGAAACAAACCCAAAGTCATAGAGTTGATTACAACTTCTAGGGACCCCACAGGACAGAGCAGAACTGCCCCCACAGGATTTCCAAAGCTGTAAATCTTTACAGAAAGAGACTGCTTCATCTTTCTATTGCAGAGTGGCTGGTTTGAACACCTGATCTTTTGGTTAGCTGTCCAATGCTTTAACCACTGTGCCACCAGAGCTCCTCTTTTACACTTATGTAAGGCTAAATAAGAACCATATGCATTTGTACTGACTTACCTACAGATTTGACTTAAAGACCCACTTAAGAATGGATCTCATTTGTATGGAGTCGATTCTGACTCATAGTGAACCCTCCTTGGGTTTCCAAGGCGGTATCTCTACAGAAGTAGATTGCCCAGAGTCTTCCTTCTGAGGAATGGCTGGTGGGTTTGGACTGCCAGCCTTCTGGTTAGCAGTCAAATGCCTTAGGCACCACACCACCAGAGCTGCCAACTTCAGATAATTTCTCTCAATTATCTCTGTGTATAACCATAGCAATATACAGGTTATATCTGGGTGGTAGAACTATGGCTGACAAAAGTTTCTATAGCACTGTTTTATTTAACTATTATATAAATCAAACCCACTGCCACTGAGTGGATTCTGACTCATAGTGACCCCAATTGGGTTTCCAAGGCAACAAATCTTTATGCAAGTAGACTGCCTCATCTTCCTTCCAAGGAGCAGCTGGTGGGCTTGAACTGCCAACCTTCTGGTTGGCAGTCAAATGCCTTAGGCACTGTGCCACAGGATCTCCTTAACTATAATATAGCACTATTTATTAATAGTTTTCATAAGGTTAGGAACTGGACCCATCACATGGACAAGATATAATTAACTTATAACTTAAAAACTGTCAGAAAGCATTTGTGTCTCCAGAAAAAAAGATTCCTTTTTCAGGCACACTTTTAAATGACCACAAAACACTTGCCTTATAAATCCAGCTGAAATGAATTTGCTAACAACTTCTTTTGAAATGGTATTTAACTTATAGTTCCACGATCCTTCAGGGACATAAAAAACATGAAGTTCCACCAACTGAATAAATTGAGAAGAATGACAGTTAAAACATTTTTAAAGTAAAAAATGTAAATTGTTATCCTGCAGAATTTTAATAAACATAATTGAAATAAACATGAAATAGATGTATTTCTCTGAACAAACAGAAAAACAAAATGAAGAACCAAAATGTTATTTCTTAGGTGCTATTAAGTTGACTCTGACTCCTAATGACCCTGTGTACAACAGGACTTAACACTGCCTGGTCCTGTGCCAGCCACACAATCCTTGCTATATCTAAGCCCATCACTGTAGCCACTATATCAGTCCAGCTCTTTGAGGGTCTTCCCCTTTTTCACTGACCATCCAAGTATGATATCCTTCTTCAGGGAACAGTCCCTTCTGACAACATGTCCAAAGTAGGTGAGACAGAGTCTGGCCATTCTCGCTTCCAAGGTGCATTCCGGCTTACTTCTTCCAGGACAGATTTCTTTGTTCTTCTACCAGTCCATGATACTTTCAGTATTCTTTGCCAGTACCACACCTCAAAAGCATTAACTCTTTAGTCTTCCTGTTCTGGTTACCTAGTGCCAGTCTGACAAGAATATACCACAAATGGGATGGCCTTCACAAACAGGAGTTTATTCTTACAATTTGGAGGCTTTAAGTCCAAGTTCAAAGTGCCAGGTCTAGGGGCTGGGTGAAAGCCCCTCAACCTTGGGCTCCAGCTCTGTCTCCTGCTCCCGGCCCACTGGAGCTAGGGGCATTTCTTCACTCAGACAGCTGCTGGCTGCTGAGGCTGAGAAGTCCCAAGATTGACAAGTAAAAAGGCACAGTCCCAATATTACCAAACCACACAGCAGGCCATTAACTTAAGTCCATTGAAAGTCCCAAGGTCGGCAGAGCATAGCAGGCTGCTGAACAACACGGCTACATGCAGGGTACAAGCGTGCCATATATTACAGACCATTCCCAAGGCTTCTCCTTAAATACAGGAAGCAGACCACATTTCCAAAGGCAGCTACTCAGCTGCTTGTGGTAGATCCCACCATGGTGCTGATTGCCAGTCTCGTCATGGGGAATAACTTCCACCAGCTGCCCAGCCACTCAACCAGGCCCAGCCAAGTTGACACACAAACATACCTACCACACTTCTTTAATGATTGTCCAGCATTCATATGCATATGAGGCAACTGAAAATACCACGGATTGGGTTAATCACACCTTAGTCTTCAGAGAGACATCTTTGCTCTTTAGCACTTTAAAGAATTCTTTTGCAGCAGATTTGCCCAGTGCAATACGCCATCTGATTTCTTGACTGCTGCTTCAATGGTGTTGACTGTGGATCCAACAACACAATGCAATGCAACACACTGCCATCGAGTGGGATCTGGCTCATAGCGACCCCTCTTGGCAGTAAAGTAATATGAAATCTTTGACAACTTCAAACTTTTCTCCATTTATCATGATGCTGCTTACTGGTCTAGCTGTGAGGATTTTCATTTTCCTTATGTTGAGGTGTAATCCATATTACAGATTGTAGTCTTTAATCTTCATCAGTAAATGCTTCAAGTCATCTTCATTTTCAGCAAGCCAGGTAGTGTCATCTGCATATCAGATTGTTAACAATTCTTCCTCCAATCCTGATGCTGTGTTCTTCTTCATATAGTCCAGCTTCTTGGATTACTTGCTCAGCATACAGATTGAATAAGTAGGGTGAAAGGATACAATCCTGACACACAAATTCCTGATTTTAAACCATACAGTATCCCCTTGTTCTGTACAAACTACAGCCTCCTGGTCTATGTACAAGTTCCTCAAGAGCACAATTAAGTGTTCTGGAATTCCCATACTTCCCAATGTTATTGATAATTTGTTATGATCCACACAGTTGAAATCTTTTGAATAGTCAGCAAAACACAAGCAAACATCTTTCTGGTATTCTTTGCTTTCAGCCAAGATCCATCTGACACCAGCAATTATATCCCTCATTCCAGGTCCTCGTCTGAATTCAGCTTACAATTCTGGAAGTTCCCTATCAATATACTGCTGCAACCATTTTTGAATTGTCTTCAGCAAAATTTTACTTGTGTGTGATATTAATGATATTGTTTGATAATTTCCACATTCCGCTGGATTACCTTTCTTTGGAATAGGTACAAAAATGGATCCAAATGAGTAAATAAGAACTGAAAATGTGTTTGGGAATTGGATACTTGGAAATTGGTGCAGATTCTCCCTTGAAAACAATGTCATAATTAGTCCAACGACTGGTATACCATGAGATCCTCAGCCTATACGACTATGAGACCAGAAGAATTAGATGGTGCCCAGCTACCACTGTCAACCACTTGGAGGAGGATCTATGTAGGAGATCCTGGATAGAATGGGAGAACAATTGCAGAACAAAATTCAAAATCATTAAAAAAGAAAAAAAAGTGATCAAGTTTTCTGGTCTTATGGAGCCTGGTGGAACCACTGAGACTATGGCCCCTAGCCACCCTTCAGGTCTGGAATTGAACCCACTCCTGTGGCTTCCAGCCAAACCAAAGACACATATATGAACTGAACATTTACATTAGGTAGATACACTCCATGGAGAGATAAATCATGGGAGAATAGAAAGGCTGTGTATGCACAGGGACATAGGTCAGGGGGCAGGAGTGCATGGAGGGATGGACACAGGGAAGAGGTAACTATGGGGAGGAAGTGGGGGGGTAGCTGTTGCATTGTTGTAAATTGTGGTCAATGTCATGAGACAAAGTATATGTGAACCGCTGTACAGAAAGTGAATTTGCTCTGTAAACCTTCACCCAAATCACAATTAAAAAAAAAAAAAAAGATAAAAAGAAAAATGAAACAAGATGTGTACCTCACACCATACACAAAAACTAACTCCACATGGATCAAAGACTTGAAGGTAAAACCT